GCGCCGCGCGCCGCATGGGGCAGCACGGTAGTACAATTTTTGCCAGCGTTTGGTAGTTTGGCCATAACTTCTTGTAGTAGTGTCCAAATGACGAACGGTTTGAAGCATATAAATTTTACCAAATTCCGACATCAATTCGACCTCCGAATCCTCAAATCAAATTTTTAAATCCCTAGGACCGATCCTTCGGACTTTACCTCAAAAACAAGTAATCTAGTCGGGATATTCAATGATAGTCCCATATTATTGAGTAACAATGACTACAAATGACTTATTCCAAGTTTTTCCATGAATTCTTGCCCAACAATCACCCAAAAACGAAATTGAAGACTAGGGTATAGAACCTTACCTCTTTGATGAAGAACTTGAAGGATTTCTTGTTGGATTTCATGGCTTGGACAAGATTTTTGATGAACAAGGCACTTGAGCTTCTTCCTCTCTCTAGAAATGCTCTTCCCTCTCTCTAAAAGCACCAGAAAATCCCAAAATAACAAACCCCAAACGAGTTAAATGAAATGGGATTCGGGTCTTAAAAACCCGTTTTTGTATTGCCGCGGTGCATGGGCCGGCTGTGCAAAATGTTTCTGTAAATAAAATTTTGGATCATTCTGGAATTCCCTACAGGCGTGGCGCGCCGCGCGCCGCATGGGGCAGCGCGGTAGTACAATTTTTGCCAGCGTTTGGTAGTTTGGCCATAACTTCTTGTAGTAGTGTCCAAATGACGAACGGTTTGAAGAGTTAGAAACTAGATTTGAAGATCTTTCATTTGATAGGTTGTTCATCACATAACTCCTTATATTCATTCAGATATTCTTGTCCAAAATTTGGTCTTGTGCGTGCTCATTCGAAACTTTCGTCTATAATGAAAATTTTCAACTTGGCTTGGACTTAGGCCTCTCCTTAGACCCCAAATCACTTATAATATTCCTCGTACACTTATTATCATATCTAATTAATATCCATCATATTACTAGTCCTCGTTCGCAAACAAAATAATATAATTAGCACGCCAACTTTCTTAATAACGCTTAAGTGCTTCAAAATGATGGATCATAGTTTCATTTGATTTTTGTTTAATTTGTAAGCCTAAAAAAATTAAGCTCACCCATCATATTCATTTCAAATTCATTCCCCATTAGTTTAGCAAATTTTTTTACTTAGCTTATCAGTAGTTGCTCCAAAGATTATATCATCAACATATATCTGAACTACCAAGAGATCTTTATATTTTTCTTTCAAGAATAAAGTATTATCAATTTTACCTCTCTTGTAGTCATGCTCAAGCAAGAATTTTGATAGTCTTTTATACCATGCTCTTGGAGCCTACTTGAGCAAATAAAATGCCTTGTCAAGCTTGTGCATATGATCAGGACATTCCTTGCTTTCAAAACTCGGAGGTTGCTTGACAAACACTTCTTCCTTTAGATAGCCATTAAGAAAGGCACTCTTGACATCCATTTTATGGAGAGTGAATTCCATGTAAGCATCAAAGACTATAAGGAGTCTAATTTCTTTCAATCTTACAACTCGTGCAAAAGTCTCATCATAGTCTATGTCCTCCGCTTGACTATATCCCTGAACCACCAATCTTGCCTTGTTTCTTGTAACTGTTCCATCTTTATCAAGTTTTTTATTTCTGAAGACCCATTTTGTGCCAATTACTGATCTATTCTTGTGTCTTGGAACCAGATGCCAAACTTGACTTCTCTCAAATTAGTTGAGTTCATCTTGCATTGCATTCACCCAGTCTGCATCCTGCAAAGCCTCAGCAATATTTTTAGTTTCAGTAAGATATAAAAAAGCATCAAAAGCAAAGAGATTCTTCAAAGAAGATCTGATTTTGATTCCAGATATTGGATCAGTAATTATGTTCTCAATGGGATGAGAACTTTGGTACTTGTAAGCTTTCACAACCAGCTGGTTTCCCCTAGATGTTCCTTCAGTGTTTTGTTGCCGAGGAACAGGTTCATGAACAGGTTCCCTCAAGGTTTGAGAATCAGTTCTTCTTTGTTCAGTTCCCCCTTTCAGGTTGACCTAGGTAGAAGAACATGTTCCATCACCTGTTCCTTCCTCTGGTGCAGCTTCAGTCTGGGCTGTGATTTCATTTGAGTTTCTTACCAGTCCAATTGTTTTATCTTCATGTTCCTGCCTCTCAGAAAGAATGTTAGTTTCATCAAAAACCACATGTACACTTTCTTTTACACACATAGTTCTTTTGTTATAGATCTTATAAGCTTTACTATGTGAAGAATATCCCAAGAATACTCCCTCATCACTTCTGGGATCAAACTTACCTAGGGAGTCTTTACCATTATTGTGCACAAAGCACTTGCATCCAAATATCCTAAGATGAGATATATTTGGCTTTCTTCCTATAAGTAACTTATAGGGAGTCTCCTCAACAAGAGGTCTAGTCATGCACCTATTTATGATGTAATATGCAGTGTTCACAGCTTCTGCCCAGAAACTATGGGGCAGTTTATTAGAAAGAAGCATAGTCCTAACCATTTCTTCAAATGTCCTATTCTTTCTTTTAACTACTCTATTTTGTTGTGGAGTCCTAGGAGCAGAAAAATTATGATCTATGTCATGCTCATCACAAAATTCAACAAATTTAGCATTTTCAAATTTAGTACCATGATAAGACCTAATTGATTCAAGTTGATTACCTAGTTGTTTTTGAGTTTTTCTAACAAAAGAAGTGAAGATGTCAAATGCTTCATCTTTAGATGTTAGAAACAGCGTTCAGGTAAACCTAGAGTAATCATCAACAAGCACCATAACATATCTCTTACTACATTTGCTCAATGTTCTCATTGGTCCACAAAGATCCATATGGACCAGTTCCATCGTTCTGGTGGTACTTACCATTTTCTTGCTTGAAAGAGGATCTTACCTGCGATAATTAAAAGTCATTTCAATAGTAAGTTTGACTCTATTGCTCATATTCTAATTTTTTTAATCATATTTCAAAAAAAAAATCTCATCTCAAATTCAAATAAGTTTTATCCTTCTAGCTATTTTTAAATTGGACCGATTTTTAAAAAATCATCTTATACTTTCAAACTTAAACTAACTGCACTCAATTCAAACATTAATTGTAGAAAACTATTTTTTCATTTGTTTGAAAACAATAAATCTAATTATTGTAATAATATTTTCATTATAATTTTATTTATTTATGTAATATTTAAAAAAATATAAAATGGAACAAAAATAATTATGTGGTTAGTGAATAACTATTAAAATATGAATTCTTATTTTGGAAAGCTTTCAGAATCTACTTACTATAAAAAAATATTATAAATGTTATATGAAGCAATAAAAGTTATGAAACAATAAAAGAAGCAGAAAAAATCATTTTTAGTGATTTTATCGTTCTTCCAAATAAAAGCCATTTTTACTGATTTTACCGTATTTTAAAAGAAAGTTACAATGATTTTTTACTTAGTTGTCCGATAAACTCCATTATCAAGGTAAAAAAATGAAACAAACCGATAAGATGATTTCTCAAGCTATTATAAAGGTGTATAAGATTCTCTCAGGCTTTTCCAAAAACCTTCCCACAGTTAAAAAGTTTTTTTTTTTAAATATTTAAACAGAGTTTTTTTTTTATTTTTTAAAACCAAACGTAAGTATATGTTTCTCTCCTTTTTTGACATAATAAATAAATAAAAATTGGATGCATAATTGGTTGGATTCGTCTGTATTGATGTTGACATCAACCTTCCTTTATAAGAAATTGATGGAAAATATAGTACTTTCTCCGTTCCGTTTTACTTATTAGTTTACAAAAAAAAAAATTGTTACAATATATTTGTTGTTTTAGAAAAGGAAAAAAAAGAGAATTAAATCTTTCTTTCCAAATTTACTTTAACTTTAATACATGTGTGGACAGGAGAAATTAATTTGATGAATGCAAGAATTAATAATAAATTAAAATAAGAACATAACAACTTGTTTGGATGGTTGTTACATATCGTTTCATAATGTATCGTATCGTATTGTATCGTATTGTACTGTATCGTTTGATGAATACAATGTTTGGATGGATTGTGTCGTTTTGTCGTCGTTTCATGGTATCATGCACCAGTAATATGATGAATAAACTTGCAATATTATAAAGAAAAATTATGAGATGGTATATAAAAAGGTAGGGTAAATAATAAAATAAAATATTTAAATAATAATAAAGGGTGAGATTGAGAGAAAAACACAAGGAAACGACGCGACCACACCAAATCGGTCGTTACATAAAGTGGCACATTTCATCGTCACTCAACGACGGATTTAACGATACGATACAACAAAATTTAAGTAACAATCAAAACAAACATTGTATTTAAAGTAACAATACGATACGATACAACTGGTAACAACCATCCAAACAAGTTGTAAGTAAGAATAATGTAATCAAATTATTTTCAATTAATGTTTTTAACTGGGTGTGCCACATGTTATACAGTCAGACCTCTCTATAACACCATATATTTTCTATAATGACACTTCGTTATAATGAGCAAGTTTTTTTTTGAACTAAATTTTTATATTTTATTACAATATATATTCACTACACCAAAATATTTAGACGATGTTATAAAGAAATTTGATTGTATTACAAAATAGAAAAATAAAAAGATTTTAACACTAGTTTAATTCCCATTTCCCACTCCTCTTTTCCTTCCCATTCCCCAAATGGAAAAAAAATTACTCATATTAGATTTTTTTTTTTACCATACGTTATGTAGGTGTAAGATTCCCGTTCAACTAAAAATTCTCCTTTTTTTTTCTACCTCTCATCTCCCAGTTATTTACGGACCCACTCTCACTCCAAAATAAATTAAAACAATTTCTTTTTCTTAAAAAACTCATCCTTTTATATATATATATNCGACGGTTTCTCCGCCGGTTTAGTCGATGAAAACAACGTATTCAAGTGGAACATTACCATTATCGGTCCACCCGAAACCCTATTCGACGGCGGTTTTTTCAACGCTACCATGATTTTTCCTCCGGATTATCCAAATAACCCACCGGAAGTTAAATTCACGACCGAAATCTGGCATCCGAATGTCTATTCTGACGGTCGGGTTTGTATATCGATTCTACACCCGCCCGGTGATGATCCGAATTTTTATGAACTTGCTAGTGAACGTTGGACGCCGGTTCATACCGTTGAGAGTATTATGTTGAGTATTATATCGATGCTTTCGAGTCCGAACGATGAATCTCCGGCGAATGTTGATGCGGCTAAGGAATGGAGAGATAATAGAGATGAATTTGTGAAGAAAGTTAAACGTTGTGTTAGGAGATCACAAGAGATGTTGTGAGGTAACTTGTTTTGCAAGGAAAAGGAAAATAGAATAAAAAGGAAGAAAAATACTATTTTAAATTATTTTTTTGCTTTTGGTTTTGTTTGTTTTAGAAGTAGTATTATATTTTTGGTATTAAGATTATTTTAGAGAAAAAATTTAAACTTACGAGGTCATGAATTTATTTGGAGAAAGGTTTGATTCTCTTTTTTTTTTTTCCTAATTTTGTTGAAAATTTTGACAAATTTGGATGAATTATGGTTTCGTTTATTAGATAGATTAAATATTGTTGAAGTAAATTTTTATTTTAACCAGTTTAATGGTTATTTTTTAGTTTTACTTGGTCCTATTGTCATCTTGGTGCACAAGGTAATCCGCGTTCATGTAGAGTTCGAAGAAGAATTGCACCTGAAAAGGTGTGACGTAGACAGTCTAACCTAATGATATGAAAATAATTCTAGTGTAAAATTAAGTCTAACCTAATGATATGATAAATAATTCTAGTGTAAAATTAAGACAACTTCTACGTGATATTGTTCTAAAAGTACCATTAGATGGAAACGATCCCTTCTTATGTACATAGTGATAGTAGTTCGGGATCTTTACACAAACAGCATATACAATAATTATACACGGTTATATACATAAATATACATTAATTATACATATATTATATATTTTTCGACTATAAGCTATTGGGTGAATAGCTATTTACATTAATCCTTTTAGCTGTTCTTTCCTCTTGGAAACAGCCTCTCTACCCTTCGGGGTAGAGGTAAGGTCTGCGTACATATTACCCTCCCCAGACCCCACTTGTGGGATTATACTGGGTCGTTGTTGTTGTTGTTGTTCTTTCCTCCTTCTCATAGTTGTGTTTGTGTATGTGTGTAATTTGCCTTTTTTTGTGTGTGTGTGTGTTTGCATGGTTTTTTTTTGGTTTTACATATAGTGTTTGGTATCCCTACTGAAGCCCGATTAAATCCGAATTCGGACCGAAAAGTCTCACATTAAGCAATAAAGTGCATTTGAGTCTGTGTATGTACAACTATGGAGTTGGGACTCCATTGCCTCTGTCCATGTACAACTATGGACAAATTGGGACTATTGTTTCCTTCCATGTACAAGTGTGGTAAAAGATTGGGATACACCAGTCGCTCGCTATTTGGATAAGGTTGGGCAAAGAGTTTTTTAGCCTATTGAAAAGTGAAGCTTATAGGCTCAACCCAAATTAGCCTACCGATCCTTTAGGCTTTACTGAGGTTGGGTTGGGGTAAACCGTGGGCCAAAATTTTTAATTTAATGTTTTTAGTAATTAAACTTTTATATATACCAGGAAAAAATATTTACAATCAATACAGAACCATTACAAAGTTTACTATACTTCCCTCCCTCCCCTATACACTCTTTTTACTATCCTTCTCCTATTCTAACTATTACTTTAGCTAGTAGTCCAATCTACTTATAATTTTCTCTATTTTCCTGTTGCTTCGGCAATGCACTTCTTGTACAATGAGTTTGCTAAGTATCTCACAGTTCCTCGATTTGGCTTGAAATAGTCTTGCATTCCTTTCCTACCATACAAATATACACAGCCTGCTAGCACAATCTTGAACAGCTCTGCTTTTGTGCTTCTATTTCTCGCCTAGTGTTTTGCCCAAAGTAGTTCCCCAGACCAACCATAAATGTTTCTGTAGATACCTTGCCAGTTGAGCATCCTTTTCCATAGCTCAGCAGCATATTGACATTCAAAGAATAGATATTGTATGGATTCATTTGCATGTGAACATAAAGGACATATTTGATCATTATGAATACCCCATTTTAGCAATCTATCCTTTGTGTATATCCTGCTATTAGCCACCAATGTTAGCGTGAATACCCACCTAGGACATCCTGCATTGTTGCATACCAATTTCCTCCAGCTCATTTTGTTGAATTCTCCTCGCAGTTTATGGTGCATGTGTTTTTATAGAGCAAGTCTACATCTGCATTAGGCCTTCATAGGTGTATCTTACTTTCTCAAAGTTCTCTTTGGCTTTCAGTATCTTCCTCATGATCCATGATGCTTGGCTAGTTTGCACCTCCAATATGTGTTTGCTTTTTATATAGTAACAGTGCACCAATTGTATCCATAGCTTGTTCTTTTCTTTGCATAAATTCCAAAGATGCTTGCTGATGGCTGCTTTGTTCCATAGTCCTATGTCCATTACATTGAAACCACCTACTAATCTGGCCTGCAAACTTTCTCCCAAGCTAGCAGAGTTTTTTTTGAAATATTGCTATCCCCTGTCCATAAGAAATTTCTGCAAATTGCCTCAACCAGTTTGGTAATCTTCTTTGGTAACATGAAAATTTGAGCCCAGTAACTTTGAATGGAGAATAGGACACTTTTGATGAGTTGTAGCCTCCCTACATATGACAATAACTTGGCTATCCAGGATGTGATTCTTCCCACTAGTTTGTCAATTAGAGGTTGACACTGAATTAGTGAGACTCTTTTAGAGCTTAAAGGTACTCCAAGATATCGTACTGGCAACTCCCCTCTTTGGATTCCAAGGAACTCCAATATTTCTTTTTGAACATCTATGATACTCCACCAAAGAAGATGGAGCTTTTCTGCTTATTAATTTCCAATCCTGACGCTCTTGAGAAGTCCAAAAAGCAATTGTATAACAGTTGAATTGAAACTGTGTCTCCCTTGCAAAACAGTAAAAGGTCATCTGCAAATCCAAGTTGCATGATCTGCATCTTGGCACATTTGGGATGAAAGTTGAAGTCCGGGATATGATGTAGTGCCTTCAATCTTCTAGTGAGGTATTCCATTGCAAACACAAAAAGAAATGAGGATAGGGGATCCCCTTGTCTAAGTCCTTTCCTGGCCTTAAATGGTTGAGTTGGTGAACCATTCAAGATGATATTATAAGTAACACTTTGTATGCAATTCATTATCCATTTCACAAACTTCTCTGGAAATGCTAATGCACACAATACATGCTCAAGAAAAGGCCATTCAAGTGAGTCATATGCCTTTTGCATGTCCAGTTTCATCATGCATCGAGGTGACACCCCTTTCTTTCCATACCCTTTTACTAACTCATGGCTCAGTATGATATTAATAATAACTCTTCTAGGAACAAAAGCAGACTGAGTCTTGTCTATTAAATCATCTATGACTCCTTGTAGTCGACTAGTCAGGACCTTTGGAATGATTTTGTAAATTGTGGTGCAACATGAAATAGGTCTATACTCCTTAATGGTAGCAGGGTTTTTGACTTTGGGAATTAGGGTTATTGATATGCAGATAACTGGCTTAAATATCTATGATGATTGAAAGAAATCCAGTACAACTTGTGTTACCTCTTCCTCTATGATATGCCATGACTTCTTGAAAAATACTACATTGAGTCCATCATATCCTGGGGCCTTCAAGTCATCTATATCTTGTAGAGCTTCCCATACCTCTTGCCTTGTGACAGGCTGAATTAGTTTAACTTGCTGTTCTCTTTTGAGCATTGTCCCTTTTTTGCATTACATTTGGATCTATTGCTGGGATTGCAGGAGCATTTGACCATAGCAACTGTTTATAGTATCTAAGTATTTCAGCCTCTATTTCCTCCTCCATATGTACCTGAACCCCTAGATCAGTAGTGAGAGCATGGATTCCATTTAAAGTGTTTTTGTTCTTTATTTGTGCAAAGAAGTATGCAGAGTTAGAGTCTCTCAACTTCAGCCATTGTACCCTTGATCTTTGTCTATAAATGCTTTCTTCTATCAGTATCCACCTCTCTAGGTTTCTTTTCAGTTCCTTTTCTTTCTCAACTAGTTCTGCATTAATCTTTCTACAACCCATTTTCTTCTTGTAATTCCCTTATGATTTCTTTGGTTCTGCCATCAACACTTTTGTATTGTTGTGTATTAAGACCCTTAATAACTTGTTTGACTCTCTTTAGTTTGTTCCATACTCCCTGTAACTTTCTAGTATCTCTAGTTGTACTCCATGTTTATTCTACTTCTGGTATGAATTGGGGGTGATTAGCTAGGTAGTTAAAGAACCTGAATAGACTAGCTTTCTTCCTATACATTTGTGAGATCATCAGCTTAAGGGGTGAGTGATCAGAAAAAGATGGTTCTAGGATTTGTGTACACAGATTGGGCATTGTCATCATCCAGTTTGTGTTAATCAATCCCCTGTCTATCCTGCTATAGGTATGATTATTTATCCATGTATAATCTCTTCCCACAGTAAGTAACTCATTCATGCCAGTGTCATTCATGAATTCCCTGAAATCCTTTGTTTTCATATCTTGTATTATAGTACCATGATGTCTATCTTGACTATTCAGTACTGAATTGAAATCTCCCATTGCTAGCCATGGTCCCTGCTGTATACTGTTTATTTGCCTCAATTTCTGCCACATACTCAACCTATCTTTGATAGTATGCAAGCTGTATATTGATGTAAAGCCAAATGCTAACAATCTTGAGTGAGTTCTGACTTGTCCATATATGTACTGGCAATATATGTCAATTGGTTCAAAATCAAAGATTCTTGGGTCTCATAGAATCCATATTCTGCTCTTAGTATTGTTGCTGAAGTTTGATATCCACTACCATCCTGGTGCAATTTTATTGATAATACTACTAGTTTTCTACTTCTTTATTATGTGTTCTACTAATGCAATCACTACCTTTTTATTCTGCTTTATGAACTCCTTTGTCTCCTTTTGTTTGTATGCTTTATTTAACCCTCTAACATTCTATGTCATTATACTCATACTGGTATAAATTGTGTATCATGATATATCTCCTGTCCCCCATAAAATCCCATCTACATATTGTTTGGTCTCGGATCATTGGTTGTGTGCTCTTGTCCTCTTTCTAAGGATTGAAACCCATTACTGCCACCAAGAGCCTTGCCTTCAACTAGCTTTGTTTTTGCCATCCTTGCTGCTAACTTCCCGCTAACTGTTGTCCACCCTTTTTCTTCAGGTTGTTCAGTATCTGCAGTAATCTGCATT